TACAACACTTCTAAACCTACCATCGCTTCAGATTATAATCAATTTGTATTTGATTTGTTGGTTTGGTGACAAACTTTGGTCTAACGTTTTAAAGTGTTGTCAATTCAAATGAATTTACTTATTGTCGCGCGAGTTATTATGCATCATGAGATCATTATTACTGTCAAAACTAATTTCAACTAATTAAAGGTTTTGTTTCAATAACTTATTTTATTAATCAGTGAAAAAGTAGCAAAAAATAATAGATTAGCCGAATGTTTTCGATCTACACTGAGATCTTCATCAGGGCTTAAGAGTTGTAATCTCGACTAAGTACTAGTGTATACATATAAAATCATATCATTTCTATATTATGCAATTCTTGTAAATATCTTTCATTTTATGAGAATAATTATAACTTGGATATCAAAGAATTTTTAAGATATGGTATTCTGTAAACTTCTTATTAAAATATGAATATTTCAGAGAAGCTACTCGTTTTCACTTAAATAAATACAGTAATACATTTCTCAAAATAAAAACTTTATTCTAGATTAGGAATGAACATTTTTTTCAATGAATGTGTTTTTATTTATTAAATGTAGTTTGATACAGAATTGCTCCAATAAGTTAGCTATAGTCTAGTTGTCACACTACAGTATTGCAATAATCTAAAAATTTTTAAATAAAATTATTAATCCCAGAATAAACTTTAAACTGCAGTTTTCAATATGATAAACAGTATCATAAAAATAATAAAGTATGTGCAGAATAGTTGAGAAATAGTTGAGAAATAGTTCAGAAAGTGATGTGCAGGTTACAATTTGCAAATTTCCATGTAACCCTATATTATAGTACATTCAATCAATTCTGACACGATTGCACTGAATGGGCAAACATTGAATGATTGAAATAAATTTAAATGGTCTTAAAATGTGCATAAGATTGAGGATTGAGTGTAAAACTGGTTGACTGACAGATAATGATGAACTGGATGTGTTGTACAGTGAGTGTCGCTGCTATCGTAGCAATGGATGGCTGTATGAATGGATGATTGCTTCACAGCGATTGTTTGTATGGCTTGTATGGTATGACTGCCAGTAATAACATTGGAGTGAATAGTATACAAGGTTTGCATGTTTTTTGTGCTCAATTGGCGACAGGTTTGCGTCGATCCGTGAATTAGTGTTCAGTTTATATGAAGTGAACGTTAATTGCATTGTATTTACGATATTAGTGTCCAATCGGTTGAACACATGAATGCATTAGTGATGGTGTGTGTGATGTATGTGCGGATCCAGTGATCTTGTGATGCCCTCAATGGTGGTACGAATGGCTCATTGGATGTGATTAGCCAGAGATAAGAGACAAACATATGATTTAATGGCAACTAATGTGATGGCAATCAAGCAATCAATGCATTCATTGTGTTCTTCGGCGACATATCTCTAATCGTTACTCAAAGACACAAATAAATGTCTAAATCCGGTGACAATCAGTGGTTCATGTGATCNATAAGTTATTGAAACAAAACCCTTTGATATCCAAGTTATAATTATTCTCATAAAATGAAAGATATTTACAAGAATTGCATAATATAGAAATGATATGATTTTATATGTATACACTAGTACTTAGTCGAGATTACAACTCTTAAGCCCTGATGAAGATCTCAGTGTAGATCGAAAACATTCGGCTAATCTATTATTTTTTGCTACTTTTTCACTGATTAATAAAATAAGTTATTGAAACAAAACCCTTTGATATCCAAGTTATAATTATTCTCATAAAATGAAAGATATTTACAAGAATTGCATAATATAGAAATGATATGATTTTATATGTATACACTAGTACTTAGTCGAGATTACAACTCTTAAGCCCTGATGAAGATCTCAGTGTAGATCGAAAACATTCGGCTAATCTATTATTTTTTGCTACTTTTTCACTGATTAATAAAATAAGTTATTGAAACAAAACCCTTTGATATCCAAGTTATAATTATTCTCATAAAATGAAAGATATTTACAAGAATTGCATAATATAGAAATGATATGATTTTATATGTATACACTAGTACTTAGTCGAGATTACAACTCTTAAGCCCTGATGAAGATCTCAGTGTAGATCGAAAACATTCGGCTAATCTATTATTTTTTGCTACTTTTTCACTGATTAATAAAATAAGTTATTGAAACAAAACCCTTTGATATCCAAGTTATAATTATTCTCATAAAATGAAAGATATTTACAAGAATTGCATAATATAGAAATGATATGATTTTATATGTATACACTAGTACTTAGTCGAGATTACAACTCTTAAGCCCTGATGAAGATCTCAGTGTAGATCGAAAACATTCGGCTAATCTATTATTTTTTGCTACTTTTTCACTGATTAATAAAATAAGTTATTGAAACAAAACCCTTTGATATCCAAGTTATAATTATTCTCATAAAATGAAAGATATTTACAAGAATTGCATAATATAGAAATGATATGATTTTATATGTATACACTAGTACTTAGTCGAGATTACAACTCTTAAGCCCTGATGAAGATCTCAGTGTAGATCGAAAACATTCGGCTAATCTATTATTTTTTGCTACTTTTTCACTGATTAATAAAATAAGTTATTGAAACAAAACCCTTTGATATCCAAGTTATAATTATTCTCATCAAATGAAAGATATTTACAAGAATTGCATAATATAGAAATGATATGATTTTATATGTATACACTAGTACTTAGTCGAGATTACAACTCTTAAGCCCTGATGAAGATCTCAGTGTAGATCGAAAACGTTCGGCTAATCTATTATTTTTTGCTACCTTTTCACTGATTAATAAAATAAGTTATTGAAACAAAACCTTTAATTAGTTGAGATTAGTTTTGACAGTAATAATGATCTCGTGATGCATAATAACTCGCCCGACAATAAGTAAATTCATTTGAATTGACAACACTTTAAAACGTTAGACCAAAGTTTGTCACCAAACCAACAAATCAAATACAAATTGATTATAATCTGAAGCGATGGTAGGTTTAGAAGTGTTGTATCAGACAATACGCGCGGACTTGAAGTGCAAAAACGATTTACTGGTCGCTTGTGTCCATTTCCAGTGCATTCAAAGTGGATTCGTTAGCGTCGGTGTCGGCGAACAGTTCACCGAAACTGATGAGTCGAGCGCCGGCTCTCAACTCATGTCCAACGGCTGGAATGAATCGCAAGACACGTATGTCTTGAGATATATTCACCCGAAGACCAAACAAAAACTTCTCATTAAATGCGTTAAAGTGTCTGACATTTTGATGATATCCGCGCTCATAGTGTCCGCAGATAGCAACGGACCCTCTGTTACTCTTCGCACCGATGACTACATATCCAATGATTTCAAGGCATATAAGAATGCATTCGTTTCGGGAAGTGTTGACAATTTACTCAAGAAATTAGACAAAGAAGTGATGGAAAAATTGACTTCAAAACAGAAGTCAGTCACCGATGAGTCGTCCCTTCGAGAGCCCTCTCGTAACCAAAGACACGATCCGTTGTTAGAACCGATTCCGGGTTATGGACCCAACTATGGCATTGGTATGGGCTATGACCCAATGTATGGCGGCGCTCAATGGCCCCCTCCGTATGGTGGCGCAGATCTGGACCCTTTTGGCAGAGGCCGGGGAGGAATGATTATGGATCCGCACGGCTTTCCCTCTCAATTCAATCGGCCACCACGTAATCCGGCGCCCGGTCTGCCCAGGGGTGCAGTACCTCCAGGCGCTCGTTTTGACCCGTTTACACCTCCAGGTGGTGTCCCGACCCCTCGTAGTAATCCGGGTCCCGATCCTGACCACTTGCCTCCACCCGGATATGACGATATGTTTATGTAGTAAAATATTTGATAGATTTTTCAGTATAACTCAAACACTATTTTTGATGATCACATAAATTTCATATACTTTTGAGAATATGTTTATTTTAAATTCTATAAATTTCAACTTTTATTGATTCAAATTCTAATAAAGATTTATTATACTATTTGTAAAAATAATGTTTTCAGTCTATTAACTTTAGTCTAATTATGAAAACTATTTGTTATATTAATATACATTTTAAATATTCATAATTCTTGCGGTGTCTTAACGGATATTATAACTCCTGAGGGCGTCATTCAGGTTCCAATGGCTACAGGACAGGGATGTCAGTGCTGTCTCTGTAGGGGCTTTTGTCTTCTTCACGAACTTATCGATCTTTTCCTCAAAGTCTTTGAACTCATTTCTGTCGACATTCTTGCGATTGTCGTCACTCATGGCGTACCAATAGGTCCAGTACTTCGCCGTCTTGTCATACAATTGACGACTAGCTCTGTATTGATTGCCTACAACGGCGTCCTGTGGGTCGTTGGGCACCGGGCTCTCAAGAAATGACTGCAACGACCGGATGAGACTCTCGAGCGTCATGGAGACCGCCCACCGGCCCTTCAGTATGTCCAGACATATGGCGCCGGTAGCCGACGAGATGTTCGGGTGCCACACCTTTGTGATGAACTTACAAACCGGCGGTTCAAACGGGTATTTGTCGGGTATTGTGATATCGATGCTGAAGACGCCGTTTTGGTAGGGAGTGTCGGGTGGCCCCAGAATTTTGGCGATTATGTGTTCAGTCGAGTCGTTCACCATTTCTATGCAGAAGTGATTGCGATTCAGATCGTTGCCACTCATCAGATCCCGGAGCTCTTTAGTGATCCTCTTTTTTCCAGCCATTCTTCGAGTTTGTATTTTATTGAATGAAAAGTTTTGATGTGATAGTTGTCGAGACACACAACTGGACTAAAGTATCGCAGTTCAGAGATAATTACAGAGTTATTTTAAGATAGTTTTTTATAACGAGTAATTGTTTTATGAAGATTTATTCAAATAATTATTTTTGAACGGGTTTTGTAAATCTCGTGATTAAATAGTGAGCACTGACTGCGACCATAACTCTCACTAATAGTGCGAGAAATTAAAGAATGAATGCATTGTTGTATTGAAGGCTATAAAAGGGACTCTCATTTGAAATTCACTTCATTTAGTGGTCAATAAAAGTCACAAAATTCTCATCTCTTTTGAACTCTATTTTCAAATTTGAGTCAAA